GGTATTTTGTGGAAGAGCCACACTCAAGGGGCCAAAGAGCCACATGTGGCTCACGAGCCGTGGTTTGCCAACCACTGTTCTATGCGATCGACCTCTGCCTACACCTCTGACCTCATTCTCTTCAGCTTCACTTGCTCCCTGTGCTTGCACGCCATCTTTCTCTCGCCCCTTCAGCATGCTGTAGTTTTTCTACTTGTTTCCTTTCCCCTTGGTTTGCACCTGCTCTTCTGAGAGGCAGCATAGCAAAGTGGCTAATAGCATGAGCTCTGGTTCCAGACTTCTTTCTGCCACTTTCTAGCTTTGTGAAGGTTATGCAACCTCTCTGGGCTTCAGTTTCCTCGTTTGTAAAAGTGATAGTAGTATTTACTACAGAGGGATGTTGGGAACTAAAAGAGTTAATTTTTAAAATGTCAGATGCTTTCAGTGGTTCCTGGTATTCAGTGGAGATTCAATAAGTATTAATTTTCTTTAATGCTTGAAGCTCTTTTTTCCTATTTCTTTACATGGTTGCTACTTACATTCAGTTGTGTCAGCTTCCCCAGACATCCTAGCTAAAGTAGCATGACTCCATTTGTTTTCTTTTTTTTTTTTTTAAATATATTTTATTGATTTTTCACAGAGAGGAAGGGAGAGAGATAGTCAGAAACATCGATGAGAGAGAAACATCGATCAGCTGCCTCCTGCACACCCCCCACTGGGGATGTGCCCGCAACACAGGTACATGCCCTTGACCGGAATCGAACCTGGGACCTTTTAGTCCGCAGGCCGACGCTCTATCCACTGAGCCAAATCGGTTTCGGCTCCATTTGTTTTCTTAACCCTGTATACCATTATCCTGTTTTATTTAGTCATAGCATTCATCACTATATTTTTAATGTTTCATGGGTTTTTTTAGAGAGAGAAGGCGAGGGATAGAGAGATAGAAACCTTGATCAGCTGTCTCCTGCATGCTCCCTACTTGGGATCAAGCCCACAACCTGGGCATGTACCGGAAAGGGGATTAAACTGGTGACCTCTTGATTCATGGGTTGACACCCAACCACTGAGTCACACTGGCTGAGTCATCACTACTTGAAGTTATTTTATTTTCTCTTCCCCTCTCCCCCCTTCCTCTGAGGGTAGGGGTTTGTTGACTTGTCCCCTACTATATCTCAGCTTCTAAAAAGTGTCAAATACTTTAAAGTAAAAAATTTTTGTACCAACTTGTCCTGAAAACATGGTGGTTTCCAAGGCCTCTACTCTGAACAGCCAGCATATTGTGGCAAAGGGACAGTGAGACGCAGGCGGAGAGGACAGACGAATCTTGTCTTTGTGTATCAATCTGTTGGCTTCTCTAGATCAGGTGGCCTTTTTTTTTTTTTGAGCTACTGGGACATAGCCACATCCATTTTTTAGATTTATTATCTGGCTGCGTTTCAGCTGCAACCACAGAGTTGAGTAGTTGTGACAGAGACTCTAAGCCTCACAGAGTCTAAAATACTTACTGTTCAGCCCTTCACAGAGAAGTTTGCTGACCCCTGATTTAGATGTATAGAAAAAAAAAGGCTAATAGGAAACACCAAAAATAATAAGTTTTATTTGGGTAATGGAATTACAGGTTATTTTAGTTTTTATCTTTATACTTTTTTGGTATTTTGTTATAGACCCATTTAATTTGAAAATGAAAGAGCCTTGTAAATGCTAAATTTTGAAGTATTTAGAGCACATTTAATGATGGGTTTTTTTGTGTGTGTTTTTTTCCTTAGTGCTGCTTTTGACACAAAAACTGGGTTACGTGTGGCCGTGAAGAAGCTCTCCAGACCGTTTCAGTCCATCATTCATGCCAAGAGGACCTACCGAGAGCTGCGGCTGCTCAAGCATATGAAGCATGAAAACGTAAGTTCTTCACTCAAGGGAGAACAAAGTCTGCTCTGAATGGACTAGAAAAAATTGTTTTAATTACTGCCGATGGAAATACATTCGAGGGCATCAGACTTTGGACCGTGCTTCTTACACTGGGTGTTCATGGCCACTGCATTATGTCAAAGCCTTGGTATGCAATCGGTGCCTCTTCTTGGAGTTTGGGTTTTACTCAAAAATTTTTAGAGGGAAAACGTTAAAATAATTTTTTAATAAAAAAGATATGAGTTATAGCAATTCATAGCGAGTTTTAAGAGAAAATATTTTTAAAAATGTGTTCTTTACCTGGTTTACTTAAGGCCACCTTATCAGAATATGGGGATCCATGGCTATTTTGTATTATGGGTTATTTCAGTGGAGAAGTTTGAGGAAGGAGTACCTTAGGCTCACTCAAAGTCCTATCAGAGATGGCTCTTATTTTATGTACAAATTAACATTATAGTTTTTCTTTTCGACCTGCAAAAGCAGCTTTACTAGATTTGGGTATTTTAATAAATATGACAAAGACATTATTTAAATTAAAAAAACTTTTTATTTTCTATCAATTTGGAAATGTGAGAGCAATGCCATCCTGCAAAGGAGTGCTTAAAAGTTCTAATTCTAATATATAAAGAGCCAGGGTCCATCATGACCTAAACGTCCGACGGACAACTGAACACCAGGCTAGGGTCCCAGCTGGTACAGCAGAAGCCAGTCCTGGGTCCCGGCCACCAGCTGCACAGCGGCAGGAGGGATCTGTGGGAACGGAGCCATGCTGCCATCGGACTGGCCTCTGGGTCCCTCCTCTCCCCTCCCCTCCCCCACCCCCCACAGGCTCCAGGGAACCAGAGCCATGATGCCATCGGACTAGCCTCTGGGTGCCTCCCCCTGGCCCTCAGGCCTGGGGAACTGGAGCCATGCTGCGATGGGACTAGACCCTACCCAAGGGGTCCTGGATTGTCAGAGCATGCAGGCTGGGCTGAGAGAGACCACCACCCCCCACTCCCCCCCACCCCCCAGTGCACGAAATTTCATGCACCGGGCCTCTAGTATGGTAAATAACTGGATGCAGTTGGAATATTATCTGAAAGTGAAAAAACAATTGACTGAGGACACTTATTTTCCTGTGTTTTGAAATCAAGTTAAAAAGAATTTATGTGATTGCTATGTGAAAGGAACTGTAAATTGTGTAGCATTGTAGAAACAATGACCATAGAGATTTTAGAGTCATTTGACACTATTGATTGTACTGTGTAGGTGAAAAATTCAAAGCCTAAATTTATTACTTGGCTATTCAGACTTTTTCTGTTTTAATAATTGAACTTTTGTCCATAGTAAGAAAAAAAAAACGCACAATAAGTGACACATTATTAACCCTTTGTGGTCCAATTTAATTTTGGAGTTCAAACAGTCTGGTCCAAATTAATTGACGGGATTGAATGTTGAACCGGTTTGTGGAGTCGACCTCAGTCTTGACGGTGGACCTGCTCCTAGCACCTGATCTGTTGAGTCAGCCTTGACGTTGGACCGAAAAGGGTTAATATACACTTGTTTCACAAAGTCTACATTGAGACATAAATTCAGAATTGGATTATGGGTGCTGTTATAATTTTTCCTAGGTATAATAATTATAAATTTATAATTATAATTTATAATTATTCTCAGGTATAATTTTATAGGAGCATCCATGTGCAAACCTAAGTTTTTAAAAATTTCAGTGCAGAGCTGCAGCTTTTTTAATCAGTGACATGTTTACAAGAAGTTGAGATTGTGGAAAAAGCTGGCAAGAGAAGCTTGAATCGAAGGTCTGCAAGAATACTTAGAAAATGGAATGCAAGCAAACATAGATAGAACCCTAAAATACCCCCAGGAGGCCCCAGGATCCCACACTAATTTAAGAACATCTGGTTTACCAGTGCTATATACTTCATTGTTTTGCTTTTCTTTGTAGACAAATTAAGCCATTATTTAGGGCACAATTTATTTTGGGTTATCTGAATCCATGCCTTGACTTTCCTCAGTGATCATAAGCAACAACCTTACTTAGTTTTTTTATGCTTTAATTTTCTGTAATGAGATCATTTGAAATGTGTCATGACATTGGGCTGGTTACATTTGGGCCATTTTGTATTTGTTGAAATGACGCCAGAGTGATGGATACAGTTTTTCTCATTTAGGAGAGGTAAAGACTCCTTTTAAAAGGAGAGCTGAGCCTGGCTAGGGTCATTCAGGGGTTGAATGTCTACCCATGCACCAGGAGGTCTCAGTTCGATTCCCTGTCAAGGACACATGCCTGGGTTTCAGAGTCCATCCCTGGGTGTGCAGGAGGCAGCTGATCAATATTGATGTTGATGTTTCGCCCCTCTCTCTCTCTCTCTCTCTCTCTCTCCTCTCTCTCTCTCTCTCTCTCTCTCAATCTCTCCCCCTCTCCCTCTCTCTCTCCCTCTCCCTCTCCCTCTCCCTCTTCCCCTCCCTTCCCCTCTCTCTAAAATCAAATGGGGCCAAAAAAAAAAAAACATTAAAAAAAAGAAAGAGGGCTGACTGTATTAGAAAAACAGGGTTTTAATGTACATAACTTATAAGCAACTTGCTTAATAGCAGTTCATCATTTTTATATTAAGACTAGAGACCCAGTGCACAAATTCATACATGGGTGGAGTCCAGCTGGCCCAGCCCCAATCAGGGCAGATTGGGGCCGGCTGGCTGGGGGGAGGGGCCGTGGGCAATTGGCCAGCAGACCCTGCCTCCGATTGGGGTTGGGGTGTGATGGGGGTAAGGCCAGCCATGGGGAGGGTCTATGGGTGGTGGGCTGGCCAGCCCCACCCCTGAATGGGGTGGCAGGACCAATTGGGGCCAGTGTCCTGGGGTAGGGTCCATGGGTGGTTGGCTGGTTGGCCGGTTGTCCCTGTCCCTGATCAGAGTTGGGGGGGCAACAGGTGTGGGGCCAGCTAGGGGGAAGGGCTGCAGGAGGTTGGTCAGCAAGCCTCACCTCCTATTGGTGAGGGGCTGTGGGCCATTGGGGTGGTGGGGCTTATCAGGGGGTGCCCGCTGAGGGATGGGCCAGGGGAGGTTGGCCAGTCGGCCCCACCCCCCCTGAATGGGCCGGTTTGCTGGCCGCAGTAGGCATCACAGCAACCAGTCTTTCTGGTTGTTATGGTGCTTTGGTCGGTGGCTTTTATATATATAGACAGATGCTTGGATTTTAGCAGTATCAGTGTAGAGGGCCACCTATGCTTAGATATTGGTGATTTTTGTTTGAACAAAAGAAGGCACATGGCTGAATGTTTCATAGTTCTCTGTTGTTTTGGGAAATATTTGAAGGGGGAATGAGAAGAGACCAAAAGACTGACTCAATGTAGGAAAATTCCTGAGTTTCAGTCTTGTCTACAAACAATTGTTAGGTGCTTACAATGTAAAAGTAGTTTTACCGGGTAAAGAACCAAGACTTCAAGTAAGCTTAAGCAAGGATTTTTTGTTATTGTTAATCCTCACCTGAGGCTATTTTTTCCATTGCTTTTCAGAGAGAGTGGAAAGTGGGGGGGAGGGAGGAACATCAGTGTGAGAAAGACACATTGACTGGTTGCCTCCCGCATGCACCCTGGGGAACGAACCCAAAACCCAGATACATACCTTGACCAGGAATTGAACCTGCAACCCTTTGGCACACCGGCTAATGCTCTAACCACTGAGCAACCAGTTAGGACAAACAAGGATTTTAAAAGGAATTCCTCTCCATTGTCCTCTTCTTCCTCTTTCTTCTTAAATGACTGTTTTGGGCCACCGTTTAATTTTTAGGTAGCCACCAGGCACCAAAGACAACAGCAATAGCAACAGCTTAAAACTCTTTAAACTAGTGGTTCTCAACCTTGGCTGCACATTAGAATCACCTGGGAATCTTTTTAAACTCCTCTGGGATAAGGCCCAGAAATCAGGATTTTAAAAAGATTCCCAGGAGATTCTAATGTGCAGCCAAGATTGAGAACCACTGCTTTAAAAGTTTAAGTAAATATTGGTAACAAAAATAAGGTGCTGAATGCCCATGTGATCTTTACACAAAAATGGCTCTGACCCACAATCCATGCATAATTCATTTTAAGTTATTTATTTCACTGGTGATAATGAATGACAGGTATGCATTTATCAGGTGGGTAACAAGAACTAGGGGATGTTTCCTGTGACTGTAAGTTACTCTGAACGAAGTTAGCTTGCTCCTTCTTGATTGAACTTGTGACCTTGGCCTCATTAACACCTGCTCTAAGGAAAGATTAAAGGGAAGCAGCTTGCCAGCTGCATCCTTTTGCTGTCGGGGTAATTACTACAAAGACTGCCCCGTTAAAGGACCTGGAGATCTGGAAGTTTTGAAATTTAAAAATGATTAAGGGAATCCTTTCATAAATTTTATTCGGGAACCTTAGATTCAATCTTACCATGGTAGACCAAGTGGTGGTTTTGTGGCTTGTGTTAAATACAGTAAATGTTGTCTTCAATTGATTACTAAGTTATAGTGTTTATTTTTTGAATGTTTGCTAATTTAATAAAAATGTATTACCCTGTCAGCTTTTGGACAATTGTAGGGCAATTAGAGATATTTACTGATTATTTGTATTGTAAATGTTTTTTTCTAAAAATTTGAATCCTGGCCTTTTAAGTGTCATATGGTGGCACAAAGAGTAAGAAAATAGGCCAAAATATGATGAATTAAAAGGAAATTTCCATTAAAGAAATGAGAAATTATTAGATTATGTAATATTCCTAATATGTTCGCCTGATCTATTTTAATGCTGAGAAACATTTTTTACAGTATTTTCCTTATGATTAACACTCAAAAATATGATTAATAGAGAAGGGATATTTTGTAAAAGCTTACAAAACATTAAAAATACTTTGATGTTGCCCTATCCTGTTTGGCGCAGTGGATAAAGCATCAGCCTGCAGACTCAAGGGTCCCAGGTTTGATTCCGGTCAAGGGCATGTACCTTGGTTGCAGTCACATCCCCAGTAAGGAGTGTGCAGGAGGCAGCTGATCGATGTTTCTCTCTCATCGATGTTTCTAACTCTCTATCTCTCTCCCTTCCTCTCTGTAAAAAAAACAAAATATATAAGAAAATATTTTGATGTAAAAAAAACAACATAGTTTTAATCTCATAAAACTTGTCTCATTAAGGAAATTAAAATTTTTTTAAAAATATATTTTATTGATTTTTTACAGAGAGGAAGGGAGAGGGATAGAGAGTTAGAAACATCGATGAGAGAGAAACATTCATCAGCTGCCTCCTACACACTCCCAACTGAAGATGTGCCCACAACCAAGGTACATGCCCTTGACAGGAATCAAACCAAATTTGATAGGGCATTTACTAATATGATTTGCTCTACTTTTTCTAAATTAGTTAATTGTACTTTTTTTAAAATATATTTTTATTGATTTCAGAGAGGAAGGGAGAGGAAGAGAAAGATAGAAACATCAATGATGAGAATCATTGTTCAGCTGCCTCCTGCACGCCCCCTACTGGGGATCAAGCCCACAACTTGGGCCTGTGCCTTTGACCAGAATCCAACCCAGGACCCTTCAGTCAGCAGGCTCTATCCACTGAGCCAAACCAGCTAGGGCAGGGGATGATGTTCTTGATCATTGCTAGTCTGGATCCCCCAAAGCCACAGCCGGGCACTGGCACTCAGAGGAAGCCGGACCGTGTATGTTCACCTGCCCTTTAAGAGGACCTGCTGGGTCTCCAGCAGCCTCCGTGTCCTCAGCCACAATCCTCGCTGGTTTTTATAAGCCAAAGTCTGTGGCTTCTCTTCCCAGCTCTGGAATCCTGAGCTGGGGGTCTGGTGTGGGGCTGGGACCCCTTGCTTCTCACAGGAGGCCTCTGCAGCCGAGATATCCCTCCCTATTGAAAACAATGCCTCATGTCGGTGTTGGGCCACCCCGTTCCTCGTGCATCTCTCCTACCATTCTCCATGTGCTGCTTCTTGACTTCTCCAGCTGCAGGACTTCCATTCAGCTAGATTTCAGGCGGTTCTGAATGATGGTTGTTCTGTATTTTGGTTGTTTTAAACTTTTCTTGTATTGAGGAGATGGGGCATCTCATTAAGGGAACCAGTGATTAGAAATGTTGGAATGGATGGATAATATTGGCTTCTAGCTCTCAGTTCCCTAAAATACAAGTGGGTACAGGGGAGAGAGTAACCAAAAAACCAGAGATTTTAAGGCAGGAGTATATCAAACTCAAGGAGAACAATTGTGATTTAGATGGAGAAGGAAAAAGAAAATGATTTCATTTAAATGTAAAGCACTGTTGAGAGCCGTGGATACATACTGGTAAGATCATGGATACACTGTTGGTAAGAATGTAAGTTGGCCTCACTTATGGAGGACAATTGGATAAGACTAAAATCCTTAAATATATTGGTGTCTTTTTCATGGAATAATAATACATTTTTAAAAGAAAAATGATACTGTAATAACAATTGTAGAAGTGTGACTTGTTTCTGTTTCTTAGACTATTAGTGCATGTTAAGTCAAGAGCCCTAAACCTTTTTGCTTCCTGGTAAACTAGTAGCTATATATGACTAAATCCTAGGGAGTTGAATATTTTTAATAGTAAACTAGATTTTTATGATAGGTAATATTAATAAGTAAAAACAAAAGCATAATTTTGGTAGAAAATGTGTTATACAGTATATATATAATATTGTGATGTTATTGAACTCAACGGGATTTAGAATCAGTTCGTAGTCATAGACCTGATGGGTGCTGTACTAAGTTTAGTATTTATTGACTGTTTGATTTTTATGTTTTCTTACAGGTGATCGGTCTGTTGGATGTTTTTACACCGGCAAGGTCTCTGGAGGAATTCAATGATGTGTGAGTAAAGCTTGTGCATTTGTCTTCCTCGGCTGGAAGATGAAAACTAGCAGCCCGTGTCTATTCCTGAGCCATTTAGCAGTATACAGACTTCAAAAGAGTCTTTAATTCTATCGTCCAGTTCCCCTAGGGGGTGGGATAGATACAGAAGATGTGTATTATGGGTAGTGAATGTATTTTCATCATTTCAGTCAGATTGTACTCTACTTGGAGAGTCGGTGGTGAGTCCTTGCAAATGTTCAATGGAAAAGAGTATAGGGAGTTTGGACTATGATTTTTGTTCTGAACTTGTCTGCCCCAGCTTTTAAAGGGACACTTTACATGATTACATTTACATAAAGATAAGTAATGGCCCCTTGGTTCCACATAGGTTCTTCCTTCTCTTTTATCCCACCCGTGTGTGGGAACTGGTACTAGGACTGCATGCTGACCCTGAAGCATTGGATTTCTGCACTGGGACAAGGGGTGGGCCTCACATATTGAGAAAGCTGATGAATAGTTCTGATTCTCCCAGTTTTGTGACCATATCTATTATTTTAGTGGTGGGCGCTAGGGAAAATGAGACAGGGAAAG